GGTACCTGCACTGCGTACAGACAGGGGCAACTATAACTATAACAACGAGCTGTTCAACAGCTGGCTCTCACTCTGAAGCACCAGGCTGACGAGGAACAGGAGCTGAAGAGAGAGTTTGATTCTGTTTGGGTGGAATAGGTTTCAGGCCTGACAGCAGACACACCTGTAATGAAGGAATGTGATATAGAGGAGGGTGTGATACGAATCCTCACCTCGTACTTATAAAGCAAATGTGTTCATTGTAGCAAAAACCAAGGAAATTATAAACAAATGTGCCACTTGGCAGAATATTCCACCTACGTTAAAGTGACCAAATAAATGTTTGGTTTAGTTAAGAGCAATTTAAACTCTGAACATCATGACTCAATTAGAGCCTTAACACAGACCACAGTCACAGAGACTCAAGACTACATTAAGAAAAAGCAAGTAGTTAAAGTGGACTACAGTGACAGCTACATACATGAAATAATCAGTATATTACTGGTGCATGTCACAGAATATGAATCCCAGCACAAATCATTTGAATTTAAAACTGAATTCAAAGTGGATCTGTGCCTGTATGTGTGTGACATTGCAGTACAGGAGTTCACTGAGCTTCACAGAGCATTCAGGGAGACTGATGAGCCTCTGACTCACCTGAGCAGTAAGAAAGGAGACTATTACAGCATCTTCAGGAAGTTCTGTCAAGGTGCAACATCCACCACTGTGTTTGCAGACTTCCTGTGCAGCAAACTGAAGCCGTCACTCCTGCAGGCCGTCTATGACAGAACAGCCATTGACGTGGCTGGAGACATGAGGGCCAATTTCCCAGCATTCAGTGGGAACAGGTCTAACCTGGAGAAGCACATCCTGAGGGCGCTGGCGGAAGAGGAGAACTTTGACAAGTTCATGACTTACATCCATCACCCAAGGAAGCATTTTGAAGAATTTATCACCCAGTCTGTAAGGCCGTCTTATCTCATGGATTCTGAACCCAGAATCCTTGGGATCTTCAAGGACAACCTGGATCTACTGCAGCACCATGTAACTGCTGCAGCTTCAAGCGCGGTGGAAAGGGTTCAACACCAGAAGGAAGGTGTGCACGTGTGGCTGGAGATGTTCTCCAGGGAGCTCAGAGATGAGCTCAGGTTCACAGAGCATGACCTGGCAGGTGCTCAACACCAGGGCATCGGTGACTTTGACTTCCTTAAGGAAGCAGTGACTGGTTCTCTCCAGAAGGTCACTGAGGGTTTGAGGAGAGTCTTGAGCTGTGTCTCCTCTGTGGACATGGGCATGTTCAGAGAGACCCCCGATGAGATCCTGTTCAGGCTGCTGTGTGGGTGCTGGGCTCAGTGCCCCTTCTGTAAAGCCATCTGTACCAACACCATGGAAGGACACCCTGGGGACCACAGTGTCCCCTTCCATCGGCCTGAAGGGGTTACTGGGAGGAAGTGGAACAAGGCAGACCAGCTGTCTGTTGACATCTGCACCTCTGCAGTTGCTAGTACTGATTTAATCATGTTGTCTAACGACAGGAGTGTGCCTTACAAGATGTACAGAGAAGCTGGTCCAGAGCACGCCCACTGGAGCATCACCCCGGACTGCTCTGAGCAGCCCTACTGGAAATGGGTTGTGTGCCGATTTCAGGAGCACCTGGAAAAGAGGTATTCTGGAATATTCTGCGATCGTGGGGCGATTCCCGAAGGATGGAAGAACATCACCAAAGAGGACACTGTAAACAGCCTGAAAGAGTAAGGCCACCAGACGAAATTGAAAACAAGAATAATTAGGTTTTCTCTATTTTGGAAAACATGATTATTGTTCAAAAATTAATCATGTCAAAATTATGCAATAATTGCTTTTCAGAATTGCATAAAATCTGCACTGTGATTCTCTGATCTGGTGGACTGTTTTAGTAACAGGGAGAACTTGTGCTGTTATCATAGTACCTATTGAATTACTCTACACTCTTAAACCCTGCTGCGCTGTACAATTGACAGTCACTGGAGAGAAAAGTCTTTTTCTTTCGTGTACCCTAAATAAATGAAGAGAATTCTAAACCTAAACGAATTCTGACTGATCTTTCTTCTGAAAAGGTCTCCCTTATCGCCTTGATGAGCTGATCCCACCTGCTGCTGTTGGGGTGTGAATGTTGAATTCGTTTTTTATTTAAATTCTATTAGAAATTTAAAGAATCAAAAGGCAAGAAATACAATGGAAATAAGTAAAAAGTACAATTTTTAGTTTTTACATTCGTGAATTCCTCTGGCTGTGAAGTCTCTATTTCTGTATCTATTTCATTATTCTGTTTCCTTTTTTTGTATTTCTGGTGTTTAAATAAAAACTTATTTTAAAAATATATCTATATTTAAAAAAAAGGATGTTGGGGTGTGATAATAGGAATATAAACACCTGAAAATGTCCCTCGAGAATACGGGTTTCTTTTTATCCATGAAATCATTAAATCTCGTGGATATCTTCACATATCAAAGGCCGTCTGCTGTTTGTTGGATATGAGATTTTTAAGATGTAAAGTTTTCTTCAGTTAAAACCAGCTTTTAAGAATCAATAAACGAATGGAAAAGTATATCCTTCTCTGTGTTATTGGTTTTATTGGGTTCTCTTTATCTATTTTTATGACTTGGATGAAGATATGATCACATTTTAGGTCAACTTTATGCAGAAATTCAGAAAATTTCTAGCACCACGGTAGATTGAAATATTGGCAGATTCACAGCATTTCTGGAATGAATCAGAAACAGCTCTCACAGAGGGAGATCACTGTGCTGTAAGCGATAATCCTGCAAGAGGCTGAGAGTCCCACAAGATCTGCAAGCTGGACCAACACAGGAGACAGATGTTCAGCGTGTGTTGCTTCCAGCAGTGATCACAAACGTACTAGCCTGTGACTTTTCACAGCAAGATCTTCTGCTGCTCAATATTGCTGATATTGCTGATGACAGGTGTTAATCTGGAATATTTGCCAAAGTCGTGTTCGTTGCTTAAAATGTCAGTGCAGCTACAAAAGCCACGCTTGTCACGCTTCCTGATGAAAGTTACTGCAGCAGTAAGAGGTTCCTCTTGAAGCTCAGTCTATAAACCACAGCCAGTCGCTGCTGTTCAGCTCCCTTATTAGTGTTCATGACAGAGGCAGGAAGGGGGTGTTTAACCGTTACTTCTGCTCTTCTGAAATGGCGACTGGCGGCGCGTCTCGTCCGAGTGAGTATTTCTGTCAGTTTCGAAGGGTGGTTTGAAATTGAATTGGAATTGAGCTGTTCTTTAAGAGTTCACCTCATTTCTCCATGTTGAAAACAAAATGTGACATCAAACAGAAGTGTGTGAAGATAATATGGGCATAAAAATTGAGGATACAGTTTTACTTTCACTTTACAAAAAGCAAAAAGACTCTGAGCAATGGCTCATTTATTAACATTAAGCCGATAGACTGGTTGCTTTAAGGAAACAGCTGATTGGATTCCTTGAATCAATTAGATATACAATACTGAGCAAATAGGCTGAATTCTCGTAGTTCTTGCACTTTCAAAGGGTGGTGTGCTAAGTCCTGAAGGTGTGTCAATTGCAAAAGTGTGGAAACTTATCAGCATCAGACACGTTCAATCTGAAAGAGATGAAGAACTATTGTTATTAACTTGAAATGCGCCGAAGATGAAATAATTCCAATTGCAGTTCATGAGTAGACTTACGTGGACTGTAGGTTTTGTTTCTACACCTATTTTGAGGGTATAAGTTTACAATTATTTTATAAAAAAGTGCTGTGAGGATTTAAAGTGTTTTTTTCTCTGTCAGCCTGATTTAGATACTGATTTTTTATTATAATGATTAGCATTTTTATTGTAAACTTAATTTTCCACTTGAATTCTTTCCTCCACAGTCGATCCAAAAACCAACCAAAGAGTAAAATTGCAAACATTAAATTAAAATTGTGGTTGGAAAATGAAGGATACTGTTTCACTTTCGAGTTCTTGAAAATGATTGTCACCACACGTCATTAATCCACATTTGTTCAAGAAATGGCTGAAGGATTAATACTGATTTGCAAACAAGCCAGACAGGATGGAAAATAACTCTTCTTATTATTAGTGTTTACTGAGAAATAGTTTTAACCAACACCTGCTAAAGAGGACACGTGATATTGACACAAGAAGTTTAACACCATACAAGTACGGTACATCTGTTGCACCATATCATCATAAACGAAAGTAAAAGTCTCAGATTTCGAATGTAAGATTGTTCACTTCTCAAATTAACCACTGCTGTTAGTCGGGAAAGAACGTTGCCTTGGCCCATTGATCTTCATGCGCAGATCTTGACCACAGGACAGGAAGCTGATTAAACCTAATTCATATGAAAATGGATATACATGTATATAGAGTCTGTGAAATAGATTTTTTCTATGTGGGGTGGCTTGTCTCCATGTTAAACCATTGGCAGAACTGCCCCTGCATTACATGGGTCCTATTTTCTGCCCTACTGAAGTGCAGCCCCACCTGGGAGACACACAGTGATCATTCTGCATCAGCAGCCCCACCTGGGAGACACACAGTGGTCATTCTGCACCAGCAGCCCCACCTGGGAGACACACAGTGATCATTCTGCACCAACAGCCTCACCTGGGAGACACACAGTGATCATTCTGCACCA